CAAATTACGTAAGTATGGGGTAAACACAACCGTTTTATTTGCTCATGTGAGATGATCTGCAAATCGGGCGTTACTTTGATGGCTACTGTACTTCTTTGTTAATGCTTTACCCTAATCCTACTATAGCGCACATCCTTGCCTTAAACAAATACATCACTAGTTTGTTTTTGATTTCACATTACACCTGATCTTATGGGTGCGCTACACAATGCATCTGCACAAAATAATTAAATCCTTAATTAAATATCTGTTGAAAAATATTCAAAAAGAACTTCAAAATTTAAAAATCTATCTAAAATCAATTGTATTAGTCGGATCTGGATCGTTTTGATTCTAAACGTGAATCAGAATCGATCCGAACCTTTAAAATATCTAAAATAAATTGGTTTCAAAAGCATATATTTAAAGAGTTTGATTATACCATATATTAGTCATTGAAATTAGTAATATACAATTTTTAATAGTAACAAGAATAGTTTTGCAAAATTTACAATTTTGATATTTTTGCATTCTAAATTCTGTAAATTTTTCTTTGTAATAATAATAATTATATACTTAGATACTTAGATGTACCCCGACGCGAGATGATAAAATCGCAATCTTGTGCAGCTCCCGTGAGATGTTGATCTTGCGTGAAATAAGATAATATTAACGTTAACCAAATTTATAAAAACGAATGTTTTACGCTGATCACTATAAGGCCACACAAATTTAATGTCTTGGTTTTCATAACATGAAACTTTTAAACAGACCCGGACGGCCGACTTTTTTTTAAAAAAATTTTTCATATATAAAAGGTTTACAAAAATTCTTTAAAAACCCACCCGGTTATTAAAACATAAAAAATTATTTACAAGTTTTTAAATTTTGACCCGGCCGGGTTATGAAAACCAATGAATTAATTTTGTATAGCCTAATATTTATTGTAACATTCTAACGTGAATTTTGTCGCATGGCTTGCGCAGAATCGCGAGGTACATTAAAGTTTTTTAGAGTTTTTGAAACTAAAAACTTTATTACATGATACAAATGATGTATTTAAAATATTTATTACTCTAATAATGCTTTCCTTAAAAACTTTACATGGATGTTATTTTCTTTAAAAGAAAACTTTGTCGTGAGGATTTTTAAAAAAAGCTTAACATAGTTTTAGAGTGTTCATAGCTAAAAAGTTCATGCATGATTGTTTTTGAAAGTGAGAAAAAAAAAAAAAAAATACAATTTTTTTAATGTTTATCACGTGATATAAGTAATGAGTTTTGTGTTTGTGGTAGTAACGATCAGTAGAATTTCACATGTGAGTTACAATTTCTTCCGATATGGCCGTGATACTACGGTTATCAATGCTACGTCCGTCGGGAATCGCATCACCACACTCCGGATCAGCTTCACTTTGAAAATGTTATGGATCTATATTTTTTTTTTTTACTTTGGGAAACGACACAAATAAGTTTTTTTTTTTTTTTTTTACTTTGGAGAACATTATACAATGACGTTTTATCCCTTTTTATATTTATGTAAAATAAAACAACATAAAATACGAGCGTGGCCAACAACAATTTCATGATTATAGTTTATTATTGGCAGATTTGTTTCTTAATAATCGACTAAGCCGTATCAAAATTATCGATTCGGCCAAGCCTATAAGCTTTTAATCGATTACAATCACTACCAGTGAGTCCTAAGCCTGGAGGCGCAATCAATACTGGAGCAAAAGAACCTGCAATCCCATTGCTCTTATTAATGATACTCTCCTCAATCCTTTTTGTAGGTATATTTTGAGAAGCGTTACCATTGTTGTTGTTTGAATCTACCAGAGGTAAAACGATTCCACCAATACCGCCGGTCATTCCTTGTTGAGCTTGAACTGAACCATAGTATTGACCATATTTAGGTGGTTGACTTGTGCTATTATTAGAATTGGCAAGGCTATTACCAATTACTGGTCGGAATGATGTTGTAGGTTGAATCATCGGATTAAATGGAATGTCGACAGGAGTTGGAGGGTTACTGCTCACTCCTATGTTGAGTGTCGAAATACTTCCAATTTTTGGCTGAGTCGCACGAGATCCTAACTCCTTTTGGTACATTAAGGGAGGTGTAGAGTAATATTGTTCGGGCGACTGAATCTGGTTATTGGTTGGAGGAATATTGTCTGATGATTGAACAGTTGGTTTACCAACTATCAACCCATCAGATGTTTGAGATGCCAGATTTGCATATCCAATAGGAGGAGGGAATGTAGATCGAATCAGTTGAGGCATAGAACGGTGGTGGGCTAAAGTATGGGATGGATCTTGTTGATTAGCAGAAGGTATAGATTCTGCAACTTTTTGCTGATCCTGTTGTTTCGTAAAACCGGAATAAGCATCAGTAGCAGAATCGTTAACGTTAGGATATTGAATTGTAGATGTCTATGAATACCATCAAATAATTATATTAATGAATTATGATAAAAATTATACAATAATATTTATGATAGATACCTGATGATTGATACGAGAATGAGGTTCGCCACGCTGATTGTTAATGTTTCCATATGGTCCATATGTGTTAGTGTCTATTTGACTTCCAGTAACTTGTGAGGAAGTCGCAACGTTGTGATACGAACTAGAATTAGACTGTTTAAATTGTTGAGCATCCAATTTTGTATTAGGATGGTAAGCAAGAGAATTGACATTCCATGGCTTTAATTGATTAGCTTGTTGATGTGGTACTTGGTCAATAATGTTTTGAAGATTCATTGTAGGCATACTGTGCCTTTTAACGTGAAATGAACCACCGCTATCTCGTAAAGAACCATAATAAGAATTACGTAGGGCCAATTGAGCAGGAGAAGGAGAGCTCTGACCATACGAATGGTGCACACGAGCTATTGCAGGAGGTTGTATTATGCCTGAAGTTGTCGATCCAATTGCTGCGGGTATGGAAAGTTGTTGCATCCCGGCTGGTAATTGAGATGCAGGCATAATGCATTGACCAAGAACAGGAGCCGTAGTATTCGCAGAATCAAAATATGAGGGTGCTTCTTGATTGAATTGTACAAACCTTTTAGATGGTCTGCTATCTGTCTGATGTTGATTTTGAGCTGTAATTAATGAACCATTCTTCGAAGTATCAGATGAAGAACGTTGTCTTTGATGAACATACAGCTGTTGTTGCGTTTTTGTATATTCTTTCAAGCATTCGAGCCAATGAGAATACTCCGAACCACTAACATACATTTTAAAATCCATGCATTCCAAAAATGCAATTTCAATTCTGTTGATCTCCTTGACAGGGATATTAGTAACTTCTGACCAAGTTTTATTTGTAAATGTATTGTCATCAAGGAACTTATTCGCCAGCATCAATGCAATAGTAAACAATCTATACTCCGGTCCTTCCTCCCCAAAATTAACGGATCTACCGCTCTTAACAAACCTTTGCACGTATTTTAAGGACAAAATAACTACCGTATTGGATAATTGTGTTTGTAATAGTACCTTTATTAAAGTAAAAAAGAATAAAATAAATAGGATTATTAATTAAAATTCTACGCAACTTAATGTCTATACACCAAATAATATAATTTTGCGAACAAAAAAAAAAAAAGACTCATGCTTCTAATATAATTTCTTTTCATGTGGCAACAAAATCGAGCCTCACATCATCTCGGTTTTTTTAATCTTACCTGAACGCAAAAGTTCTTAAATTGGGAGCTTGCGGTCTGAGAAAAATTAGCGGGTTGACTTGACAACGGAGACGAGGGAGAAAGTTGGCCAACCAAGGTTGAATCAGTCACCTTGACATGCCACATCTGGTATACAATGTTTGAAGCAAACTCCCCAAGTTCGGTGGGGGTAGACACCTCAGTGGGAACAGGAGTTGGAGGCGTGATTAATGGCTGTAAGGTGTTAACTTCAGTCGCCTGAGGAAAAGCGAAAGGTGGTTTTTGCGATTGTTGTTTGGAACCTGAAGCCGCCAGGGCAGGATACTGCACATGGTTGCGTACGGGCAACCCATCATAAAAAAGTTGGCTGATTGGACCGGGCATTAAGGATTCGGCAGGAGAACATATGTACATACCCTAGCTGCGAGTATGTACAAGCCGTTTCTTTTTAAAAGGGGAAAAGGGGAAAAGAAAAGGAATAAAAAAACGAAATGAAAAATGAAAAAGAGAATTAACTCTTTTCGTTCAATGTACAAGATGAAATTAGCGAGCCCTCTTTAGGGAGAGCAAGCGTGATTTTGGGAAGTTATTCCGAGGTTTATACTTGAAATAATACGCAGTATTTTTTTTTTTTCGGATTGTAACAGTGGCGGGTACACTAAGACCCAATACAATGACTGAATCAGTGAGTCGGAGAAAGACAATGGACCAAAAAAAAAAAAAGGATAAACATTTTTGGTAGAGTCCGGCTGAAATTTTAGTTTAATTTATCGGTTACAAAATTTCTCCTCGAACTTATAAGGTAGGCTCTTGTGGTGTAGTGGTTATCACGTCTGCTTTACACGCAGAAGGTCCTCGGTTCGAACCCGAGCAGGAGCATCCCATCCAAGTTTCTTTTTTTTTTTTTTTCTCTTAGGGTAAAATGGCATGACTAACAGTTTTCATTAATAATAAAAGTCCATAAAAATCATTAATTTTATTTGATTAAATACGGGCTTAACCTTTAAAAAAAAACAAAAAAACAAAGTTTTATAGACGTTGCTTTAAAGACTATAATTCTTAATGAGGATAATGTGGCGAACGTAAATCGACGATCATATACAGTCAACTACCGATATTCACCGGTTTTAACGGTCAAATTGCCAAGAACCGAATTTTTAATTTATATAAATATAATTTATATAATGGTTACAACGGATTAATAATAAAAAAGCCATATCGATGTATAATGGAGATTTTTTTTTCAGCCCAGATTTCCGTTATATAGATAGCATGATTATTTCCCGATTTTCGATTTTCTTTAGATCGATTTGCGCAAACCTGTGCTCAGTGTGGAAAATTCGTTGTGCATGTATTGTTATTTGCACAAAATTAACAATACGCTGTGCAAATGCACAAAAAATAAAATAGCATTTACGTATAAAAAAAATTTGCTGCACAAAAATTTTGTGCCGAATTTTTAACACTGCCTGTGCTGATGCATTTTAAGTAAATCAAACTTCATTCACTAACGCTAAATAATGAAGTTTAATTCACTTTGGTAGAACAATTTTTTTGTAATATTTAATTCCATCCGACATAATTCCCTTTAATAAAATATACAATACAGTCAATTCTTCCAAATCCGAATCTGGATAACACAAAGCTTCAGAACATTTTGGAACGAACTGTTCGGAATAGAGTTGACTGTATGTATAATGTACCGTACAAAATTTCACGGCCCTAATATTCGTCCGTGAACATTTTGGGTTAGTACACAGCAAAATTGAGTTTAGAAACATTTTGATCAAAATTATTTAGCCGGTACAGTATTAGTATAACGATAATAAAATTTTGTACAATTTTGTACGCAGTATTTTTATATCTATTTTAAATTTTGATTAAAAATAGATATCTACAAATAAAAAATTCGTCTCGAAGCCCTTTTTGCTATGTATTAACCCGTTTCTGATAATATTACATCAGTAAAAATTTTATTCAGAAATGTGTATGATTGAGTAAAGTAGTGGTGCATACTACGTACAAAAATAGCATATACGTATACTCATAATATATATATATACGTAAAAATAGTATAGTTGCAAATAAATTAATTATGTAACCTCATGAAAATTCTACAAAAGTTATTACGGTTATAAAAAAAAAATATAACAAAAAGATTTTAACAAAATCAAGATTTTTACATGATTATGCGTACTGCCGGAATTGTACTGTCGTACTACACTGTTTTTTACGGGATTGTACGTACGGTTCTAACAAAAATCAAGATTTTTACGGAAGTACGTACGTACGTACGTTCATTGAATATTTTTTATAGTACATAAGCTTATATTTAATGTTAACAAATTAATTAAAAAGAATTCGCTTTATTCAATTAATCCGAGTTTTTTTTTCCTATACATAACTACGCGTGTTTTCAAGTTTTTTTTTTCGAAGATAGTTTTTGGACAGCTAAAATCAAAAATTTTAATTTGTAAACATTTTAATTTGTTTGTCCTGAATATTTTGATGGCAGTTATAATTGTTAAGCAAAACCTAGAGGCTCGTACCGGTAAAATCGATAAAAAAAAAAAACTAGAAATTGGCAAAATCAATAAAACTGAAGGTTGTAAAAACTAATAAATCTTAAGAAACTTTAAATTAGCCTTTCATATTACTTAATATATTTTCCAATCACAATTAGAACGATAAGCAAAAAATTACCTTTATTAAAATTGAACGTCGCATTTTTAACCTGAGTATTTGCTTCATCACGAACTTTGAAGGTCCATATATTTACGTGATATCATAGATGATAATAATGCTATGTAATTGTTTGATATCAATTTATGTAATTGTAATGTTATTTAACAATTTATATAAAATTAGGTTGCTTTTTGTGTAGTATTACCGAAGGTCCGTAGAATGAATAAAATATTCGAGAAAAATTACGCATTGTATAGCCAACAATTAGAACGATAAGTAAAAAGTTTACCTTGATTAAGTCACATGTTTAACTTTCATGAAGTTTCGCATGTCTTTATTGGAGTTCCACCGAGGTTTCACGTTTCATCAGGGTTTCAACGTTTCGTCAGCGTTTCAATGTTCCATCAGGGTTTCGTCTTTCATCTTTTTTTGGTTTAGGTTTCGTCATTTGCCATTTTTGGGGTCGTCTAAAGGTACCAATGTGACTTTTTTTGTGTAAATCGGAATCGCGAATTTTGAAGTCAAAAAATAAAGAAACCGCAAAAATATAAAAACAGCAACCTAAACTTGTCTTGGAGCATTAACAAAAAATGTCGGGAAGGCAATTTTACCTATATACCTGCCCTTATACTAACACTCAAGTAGACCTAACCCTAATTTTAATTTAGTCATCCCCATTTTTGGAAATAGGCTCGCTTACTGTCTATAGTGGGCGTAAAATGTTATGCTTCATATATTACATATAAATTTTTTGAGAAAAGGAAATCTATCTTCAAGTGTATTATCGGTATTAAAACTTTCATTTAAAGAATTATTTTAATCAAAAAAAATTTTTCTTTTTATTAGTAAGGTCATACAAATTTAATTAATTATTTCTCATAACCCGGTCGGGTCAAATTTTGGAAAGTTAGAAGAAAATTTTTTTATATGTTTTAATAGTTTGGTGGGGTTTCAAAAAAATTTTTTTTAAAAAAAATTTTATAAAATTTTATATATATATTTTTTTAACAAAAAAGCTGGCCGGCCGGCCGGGTTATTTTTAAAAATTTATGTTGAGAAACAAAAAATTAATTTTGTATGGCCTAATAAAGCTTTCATTAAAAGGATCATTTTCTTTGAAAAATTTTCTTCTTTAAAAAAAAGCTATTAATAGATGGTATAGATTCCTCGTCAGAACTAATATCATTCAAAGGTATCATCATTTTATTGATGGGTAATTTATATTTTTAATATCGATTTTTTTTAAAAACAATACTGTTATGATCATTGCTTTCATTATTTAAGGGTAGAGTGTATGTCGATCATTTATCATATGATCTCAATGGTACAACGGGATTTTATGCATAAATTAAAATACGTCACTAGTAAAAGTTCTCAAAACCATGGTTAAATTTTACCA